ACCACACCCTGCAAACACCACACCCTGCTAACACCACACCCTGCAAACACCACACCCTGCTAACACCACACCCTGCTAACACCACACCAGTAGTGAAAATTGCTCCTATGCTCGTGCATTTTGCTTTTTTCGACGCACGGACATTGGAGTAGGGGTGTTTCCAATTTTTCCGACGTCTGCCTCTAGCCCAGGGTATGTTTTTAATTTTTTTTCGTTAGTACCTGGTAGTCTCCTAATATTTTCATTCATTTATCGTCCTCCCCCTTCAATCATATATAATTTTCCATAATGGGATATTAAATGGTTCCCTCCTAGACTCTGCCATTTTGCTCAAGGGGATTAAAAGGCCGCCTTCCGTCATACCAAATGTACAATGACGTCATCCATAATCTATTTTAAATCTCCTATTCCATTCCAATGTATGTTAACCAAAACATCAACTGTTGCTATTAGATGAACTGTGGTAGGTCTAATCCCTATTAATATCCCCTCTCGGTTCTATACATTTCAATAATGAAGTGTATTAGAGACGAAATTAATATTCAGAAGGGCCTATTTGTCTCCCTTACTTATCTGGAAGCTTAATATTTAGTGTCCAGCTAAGGATCGTTTTTGAGCATAGGAATGGATGAAATTTTCTATTTCCCATTCGTATGAAACAAAGAGGAGTAACACAGAGCATGAACTAATATGTATCTTACTTGTGTCAGTGTTCACCCTGTTACCGAACCAGTATTTACCCAGGTCTTTTCCTAAATCTAAACTTATCCAATTTATACCCATTGTTTCGTCTTCACTGTATCATATATCCAATCAAAATTCTCATTCAATGTACATATATATGAACTAGAGTAGAAGCTGTTTCGGATGCAGGCGATTAGTCACAATAACGTGGCTAAGGGGGGCCTATGACATGTAACACGAAAAAATTCGGGAAAAATCGTAATATTGTGAAATATTTATAAAAATACTATGTAGTTCTGGCAACACTCTGGTGCAATCAGAATTATTTTACGATATAAATTGACGTATTTATGGCACATTTCCATACGTAATTGTGCAGAATCCGGTGCCCAGCGGCTGTGGCGCGCCAAAGGTATTGCGTCGTACGATCTAAACGTCAAATTTTTCGTAATAACGTCGTAAATAACTGTATTTATAAAGAGTAAATATACACTCATTAGCAAACTTCTCATCCCTAGTGGGGATGAGCGAGGTACCAGCCCTCAGTCACCTCCTGTGTCCTATTGAGTGCGGACTCTCTGTCGACGCGCTCTCCATTCTCGCTCCTGGAATAGCGCTTTGTCGCGTCTACTGCACAAAAAATTATAAAGACGAAGTATCAGAAGATAAGAGCAGCAAATCTGGCACTCGGTCGCCGTCTTTATCAGTAAAAGAAAGCCGCTTTAGCGCGATGAAGAGTAATATCCAGTGAGAGATGGTGGTGGCCTCCCTGCATCAGCTGTGAGGTGAGACACCGACACCTGCTCAACCTTCCTCAACCCTCCTAGACCCTCCTCTCACACCTTCCTCAACCCTCCTAGACCCTCCTCCCACACCTTCCTCAACCCTCCTAGACCCTCCTCACACACCTTCCTAGACCTCCCTCCCTCCAACAAGCTGAGACAGGCTCCTGAGGAAGGTGATCCAGCAATCATGCAGGTGCCTATTAGTGCCCATTGTAGTGCCACCTTGAGAACACACAATTCGTACCAATTATAATGGGTTAGTATGTTTTAGTGTTATAATTGGATATTTTGTAATAAATAATTGTAATATATATGTGCAGGCATATATATATATATATATATATATATATATATATATATATATATATATATATATATATATATATATATATATATATATATATATATATATATATATATATATATATATATTTATATGCAATTTTTTTTTCCGTTTGTTTTCAGGGGATTTGCATGGAACTTACACACCTTGCTGAACGGATGCCTATCTGCAAGGGTGCCAATTATGAACGAAATTGGTCGACGTCAAGCTCGGCTACAGGTGGCTATAACTTTGATCATATTTTACTCAGGTATGAAATTTTCAACTTCATGGTGTTTCACAGCTTTCATTGTTTAATCAATTTACATGCAAATTACACCTTATATGTAGAGTTTGTGTTTCTACAATTGTACCGAACACTTTAGTTCAAAGTCCATTTATTGATTTTATAAATATTTATAAACATCATACATTGCATATTTTTGGAAGGAGAACTTTGAATAATTGTATTATTGCACTAAACACATTTTTGATAAAACTGCTGTGTATCCTTTATTATATGCTAATGTGATATCTGAGTGTTATAGAAATGATTTTAGTTGACACATGTGTTCCCTGAAATTTTTCGAAAATGTTGAAAATTCGTTGCATAATACGTTGTGTATTTTTTTCTCCCTTTCTATTTAGGGTGTGATGCTGAAACTTGGACCAGTTGCAGCCCTTTCTATAACCATTCCATGATTAAATTTATAAACAAATTGAACAACTTTTACGTTACCCGTCATATGCCCTCTAAAGTATGTTGACCAGACCACACACTAGAAGGTGAAGGGACGACGACGTTTCGGCCCGTCCTGGACCATTCTCAAGTCGATTGTGCTTCGTATGTTTTAAAATAGACCTTCTGCAGGTACCTTCAATCTGATGTTCTCATGACGACGTCATCCCAACGCGGTCTAATTAACCAATGGGCACGTTTCTTTTAGCCCTCCATGACAGCACACACGTGGTTCCAGAGAGGGACCCAGCCTCTCATTAGCACATACCCTTAATCTCTGAATAGCTCAACTGTTCGCTGCGAGTGACATCACAAGCTACGCCATGATGCCTTGTATTCTCTCATATCTTAGCTCATTGTATCATTGCTCTTATTTTTTTGTTATTCAATTCATCGACCCCACCAAACCAACCTAATCTAACCTATAATAAACAAATGCATTCCACAGTAATAAGATCCATTGTTTTAGCGACGTCACAAAAGCTGTCCCAGTAAATATGGCCTCGCATTAACAGATGTGTGTCAAGGCTCACACCAACCTGACTTTTCAACTACGAGTGAGTCACAAGATGCGCAATGAGGCCTTCGCATCCTACTTTGTGTATGTAGTGTATTTAATGTTATTGTTAAAAAAATGGCTATACTATCCATCTTCAACCTAACCTAACTTCATCACAGGTTTAAGAATATACATTTTAGTCATCCACAACTTTAATCATTCATTATGCAGTGATAAATTCAAAACTAAAATAGCTACCCAAATATCGTACCGCAATTCATCTGAATCGTACGTCTGGCAGCATAGAAGGTCCGTTGTCCTAATACCTGTGTTCATAGGTTAGTCAGCTGTTCTACCTCAAGTACTGTTAATTCATATTAATCCATCCCAATCAGCAAGGTAACCATATTATTTCAGTAAGTTCAAAATATTATTAAATACTCACCTACATACTATTTAAATGGATAAACCAGGGTGTATATGTCCTATTGAAATAAATACATTAGTAATTATTCATAAAAAGCTAAGGTTGTGTTAAGGCGCACATAAATCTTTTAATTTAACATCATACACACAAAATGCAACACTTGTACTTACACTAAAATACACAAAATAAAAAACACACAGAATAAAACACATGCACATTTACACTCAATATAACATTTAAGCACAAAGCAATTCCACACAAATATTCCATTTACATAGACAATACAACATTTACACACCAGATATTACATTTATGTACAAAATATATCACTCGCACACAAAATATATCGTTCACACACAAAATATGGCATTTGTAGACAAAATACGTCATTTACATACAAAATGTCAGTTGCACACAAAATATACCATTTACACAAATATTGCATATACACTCAAAGTATATCATTTACACAAATTACGGTATTTGCATAAATATAACAAATTTCATATAAATTCACACAATCAAAAAACGCTTTTACTAAAATTACTCAATTCCATAAACATAATTTTCACAAAATACCCACACATTGTCTCATAAACCAAATACACTTTCACACTTGCACATGAAGATCTATTTTTCAGTTAACATATATAGAACTTACACAAATACACAATGCGCACAAAAAAATACAGTTGCACCAGTTCCACTTCAGCATATTAATAACACAACTTGCATAAATACACTATACGTACAAAACATTTGTAAAACATGGACACTTACTACACAAATTGTGTAATTAATACACATCTCTGCACAGTTAAAACAAGGAAACTTGATATATATTTACACAACTTGCACAGTGACAATCAACACACAAAGGTGTAAATACACAATTCGTCCATATACAATTACACAACATGCACAATTAATACACAACTTGCACAGTTATTACACATCTTTCATAATTATTACACCACCTGCATAAATACATACAATACATAACTAGCCCAATTATATAAAATATACAACCAGCACAAATACACAATTCACTCAAATACAATTACGACATATCTTCAAGTTATCTTGAGATGATTTCGGGGCTGTTAGTGTCCCCGCGGCCCGGTCGTCGACCAGGCCTCCACCCCCAGGAAGCAACCCGTGACAGCTGATTAACACCCAGGTACCTGTTTTACTGCTAGGTAACAGGGGCATAGGGTGAAAGAAACTCTGCCCATTGTTTCTTGCCGGCGCCTGGGATCGAACCCAGGACCACAGGATCACAAGCCCAGCGTGCTGTCCGCTCGGCCGACCGGCTCCCCATATATACAATTGTTAAACAACTTGCACACAATATAATCAATACACAACTAACCCAAATATGAACAATACATAACTAGTGCATATTCATTAAATACATAACTACACAATTCTGCAAATACACATACAAAACATGTACAATTAATACACAACTTGCACAAGCAATACACAATTTGTAGGAATATAATCAATACATAATTGCAATCATCATACAACTTATGCAAAATACATAACCTGCACAATTAATACACAACTCGCACAATTATAATAATTGTACTATTTGTACAAAATACAATCACAACCAACTAGGTCAATCAATACGCAATTTGCATAATATTTTTCTAGATATGTTAAGGACATTATTTATAATATTCTGAGTTTAACCAACTCCCCAAAAGTCAGAATTCCACATGAATGAATGGTACGTCTGACAGCCTATGAGCTCAGTATAAAAGCACATACATTTTCCATTAATATTTCAACATTATTAGTGCTAAACTATCCATCTAACATATGTCCATTGTTTTTAATGTCTTATTAATACCCCCTTGTTAGATACTCTTCAATCATGTCACCAATATTTATTTAGGCAACCCATCCAACAGACTTATTGGTTCTAGCCTTGGGTTTAGTGGTTCTAGTTATGTTATGTTGGGTTAGAAGTCAGTAATTTCTACGATAATTTAAGCAAATTTACTGTATCCTATCAAAATGCATCCTATTAGAACCTAAATTGATCTAAATCTAGCAAAACATTCTACTTATACTACATAAATTTAACCAAATTCAACCTAGCAAAAGCTAAACTAACTAAATGTAAGCATTCCATATCTTCACATACCAGCCTGTGTCACCTCTGTCCATATATTACAGATATTGGCTATAGCTCGAACCCTAAATAGGTAAATTTGCACTATTTATGAACAAGCAAGTTAATTACCCCCTAAGATATTATATATCCAGCCTACACGACCTCACCTAACCTGACCTATCATATCCAAAGCTAGATTTGATTAAAGTTGGCAAAATTTAAGCTATTCCCAACTAAACTCAACCTAATTTAAGCCAATTTCCACCAAATATACCCAAATGTTTTGTATCGTAGCATAGCCAAAGTCCATTTTTACCGATATTTTCTCCTATTCCAACCTTCCCTACACAACCTAACCTAACCTGACCTAGTATAACCGAAGATAGATTTGATTAAAGTTGGCAAAATGTATGCTGTCCCACCTAAATTCATCCCCAATTTAAGACAATTTACACCAAAATTACAATACAAATATACCCAAAATGGTTTGTATCATAGTACAGCCAAAGCCCAGCTTTACCCACATTTTCACCTACTCCAACCTACACGTACACGACCTTACCTAACCTGACCTAGCACATCCAAAGCTAGATTTTATTAAAGTTGGCGAAATTTATGTTGTCCCCCCTAAGTTCAACCTAATTTAAGACAATTTACACCAAAAATACCCAAAATGTTTTGTATCTTAGCACAACCAAAGCCCATTTTACCCAAGTTTTCACCTATTCCATCCAAATTTATTGTAAATTTCCAATATCCGACACCCAGTCTTGGCACAACATACCCAGTTCCCAAGACCACTTCATAGAGCCAGCATTGTGTCCATCTAGCTATTTCCAATATCCTGATGTATTTTTCTTTCATCAATTCTATCAAACCAGACCAAACCTAACCTATCCTAACACAGCATTAGCTATTGCCTATGCAGGGTCACCAAGGTAACGAAAATGGACCCGGATGGAAGGCGGCCTTTTAATCCCCTTGAGCAAAATGGCACGGTCTAGGAGGGAACCTTTTAATATCCCATTATGGAAAATTATATATGATTGAAGGGGGAGGACGATAAATGAATGAAAATATTAGGAGATGTTGGAAATTTCCAACACTAATACAATACTATTGTATTATAATAAATCAGTATCATTATTTACTAACTACAGTAGTCACTAAAACTTACTAACAGTAATGTTCACATAAACTAACCATTATATCTACATATGGATGCTGGAATTCTTACGAAACCAAGCACCAGTATTGCGTCAGATTATATCTAGTTAAACACATTTATAGCCAGTGTACTAGAGAATTGAATGTGATTCTCTTAAATCATCAGTATTCCGTGTGATAATTATTTATGGATAACATAACTCCCAAATAATTCTAAATCGAGAGTTTTTAGTTACAATTGTTATCAAGTAATAGTTTTTCTGTCACGCGTGAATGCCATGGAGAGAACTAAAATCTTCTCCATTTCTCGTTTACCACCATAAGACGAGAAAGTAATAATATTTAAATCCCTAGAATCACAACCCAGTCTTTATTAAAGTATTTCAAACACCATTGCGCGAAATAGTATTATTCGTGATAAATAATTTCGGTGGTGAACGCGGGGACGCGGGTTGAGGGAGAGGAGACGCCATTGTGTGTGTGTGTGTGTGTGGCGGTAGCTCGTGTTGTGGAGTGAGCAACAGGAGCATACGTATTTGAACGGGAAGTCGTGGCGTCAGAGTCTGAGACACGTGACGTTGGGATTATCAGCAAGAATTACACTGATACTCAGCTTAGAACGAATAATTATTCTTCTACGTGATCTACAGTGCTCGGTCAGATAATAACGTGTCGATATTCAAGCCAAACTCTCAACCACGTGTACAACATTGTGGAAGTTTGAGACTGAGACGCAATACCGGAGACTG